GTCTATATTAAATACTTTAGAAATATCCAGATACATGATATTGTGGCCTCTCTTTGGAATCTCATTTCAAGCCTCAGAAATATTAGAGTGAGCCTGGCTAAGTTCACGGTACCTTGTGTTCCTGGGTCACCTGATTTTCCTGGTTTGGCTCCTAAACATGTCCCTTCTAGATATTTCATCAACACACACTTAACTTTGGTCAAAGCTCTCCTGGCTGGGGTACACTCCTTTCCCTTAGAGTACCTTTCATGCATCAAATTTTACCCATTTTACATAGGTCAAAATAAATCCAAAATTCCCAGGGTTCTCATTCTGTACTGTTAGTGTGTGTGTGTGTGTGTGTGTGTGTGTGTGTGTGTGTGTGTGTGACAGAGAGAAAGGGAGAGAGAGAGAGAAGCAGAGAGAGAGTACACATACACGTGTGTATATATATATGTGTGTGTGTGTGGAGTGTGTATGTATACATATGTACATACACACATGTTTAATTTTTTTATTTTGTCTTCCAAAATTGTCTCCTGTATTTTCTGAATATGAGGAGGTTGGGGTAGCGGGTACATGAGCCATATATTTGCCACTCTCGACTATTCAGTTAATAGAGTTAAGAGTTTGGAATTGAGTGAAAAATACCCTCTGCACAGCTGAAACAGACACTGTATTAGTTATCTGTTGCTGTTTAATACATTTACCTTGCTTGAATAAGGACAACTATGCATTAGCTCACAGTCTCTGAGGGCCAGCGATTCAGGAGTGCTGGCTCAGCTGCATTCTGGCTCAGGACCTTCATGAGGTTGCAGTCAAGATGCTGGCGAGGGTTGCCGTCATCTGAAGGCTTGACTGTGGCTGGGAGTTCTGCTTCCAAGAAAGCTCACAGCTGACTAAGTGTTGCTGGCTGTTGGCGGGAGGACCTCAGTTTCCCTCCATGCACACTCCCCACAGGGCAACTGAGTATCTTCATAACATGCGGCTGGCTTCCTTCAGAATGTGTGGTCCTAAATGCCACTGTGGAAGCTACCGTGCCATTTATGACCTAGCCTTAGGAGGCCCCTGCTGTTGTTTTGCAGGTCAGTCCTGCTAAATAGTTAAGATACAAGGGCATGCCTCCTAGAAAGTGACCATCATCTGGAGAGGGTCATCTTGGAGGCTGGCTGCTGCAGATGTTATAACGTCCCTGGGTAAGATGTGGCACATGCTGACCCAAATCGGCCCTATGCAGGTGCTATTTTTGTGAACGTTTGCTTTCTTGGACTGCCCTCTGTGGGCCCTGGGCCTATAGATGTTGCCTCCACCTGGTTCAGCCACAGCTCCTCACTAATGCCCAAAGAATCCTTGGGTTCTTGGATTTTCCAATAACCACACAAAGAGTATTTGATCACCAAATCCAGAGAGTCAAAGTCCACATGAATATGTGTACCTCTGATTCAGCATAACGCACAAGTGTGTGTGCAGTATTGTCCTGGTGTCAACCACTGATATTTTCTCATTGAAGAACTGGCCACAGACACTGCTCTAGAGAGCTCTGGTGGTGTGTCTGTCCTACTCATGGTCCTCTTCACTGGTTGACCTTTGACAGCTTCTGCATCCCGCTTGAACCATTGCGTTTCTCAATTTTAATTCCGCTGACACAGCGGTTGGAAAGACTCTCTGTATTGCTGAGGATCATCTTTAAAGGACCGAGTCCCACTGGCAGAATCCCATGAGCTCCATGAACTGTTCCTAGTGCTCTAGATCCTTGTGTTCTCATTCGCTCATCACTCATGCTCTCATTCATTCAACCATGACTCTGTGGGCACTATGTGCAGGGGTTTGGAGCCCTTTGTTCTCCTGTTGGCTATTGCACCATAGGTCAGACACTGCAGGGCTCAAGCTGGGCCCTCCTTCATCAGGGGAGGCTCTGCTAATGGCTTCTGCAAAGCATCCTTCTACAAAGTGCCAGAGAAAGCTGCCTGCAGCACAGGGGGACCAGATTTGAGAGCCAGCTCTCACTGCAGGTGAACAAGGCTTTCTGGGCTCACTCTACCAAATGGACCCTTGGAAAGGTCCTTCTTATTATTGTGTGGCTGTCTCCTCTGTTGTTTCTGATGTTCCAACATCCTAGTTACAGATGCTCGAAAGGCTTGTGGCCTTTGTGGGACTTTGCTCCTTTCCTGATTTTTTGATCTCTTCCACAAAGGCAAGTTCTCTGGTCTTCTCCAAGTACTTGTATATCTTGGTATCTTTGGTACTTGTATATCTTGGCCTCTCAATAGAGACAGGATTCAAATCAGCTCTTTTAAAAGGGGGAGTGGCTGGCGGAAGCAGGTAGTAATGTGAAGAGTCCACTGTAAGAAACTGAGGAAACAGAAAGGTGGCACAAAGCAGAAGTGAATACTCAGAAAGAGTGTGCCTCCGAGACATTCAGATGCAGGGCAGGGTGGCCCACGTGTCTTGGTTAAGAGCCCACATAAGCCCTGGTGTGTTCATGACCCAGCATTTGGGGCTGGGTACTAGAGGGGCTCCCCACTCCTAAAGTTCTACATGGGGTCTAGGGACAAGGACCGTGCAACTACGTGAAAATGGATGCTCTCTGCTCAGAAAAGTGACCTAGAGGGAGAGGGGAGGCCTCTAGAGCTCAGGGGGTGATGGCAGCTTGTTCTTTCATTCAGTTAACTCAGACCGATGGAGTCAGCTCCCAGCTCAGCTGCCAGTGGGACGAAATGAGCCTCCGGGGCCATCCAGATTTGTCATTCATCAAGGTCGCCATCCCCGTGGTGACTACAAGGGTCTGCTTGGGTACGGACTCTAAGAAGTCACCATGAATTGACAGGTCAATTGTGTAGTCTTCTCCTCTGAGGGGATGTTTCAGGGAGTGTGTGTGTGTGTGTGTGTGTGTGTGTGTGTGTTTGTATGAGGGTGGTAGTGACCTGCTGGTCCAGAATCATTAGTTTCCTCCCCAGTTTGAACCCTATGGAGATGTGAGAACATCCGAGCACTGACCTTGTTCTTCTTCTGCCAATGGAAGGAGAGTTTTTTAGGGCTTCCCTGGTCCAGCTCCCAAGTCCATCTTTATGTCAAGCCCCAGAACAGTTTTTTAAGGTACTCTAATTACCCGAAGAGAGCGCTTTCAAGGGGAAAACAAATTAACTATTTAATTAATATGTGTAATTCCACGTTTGCAGCAGGCGCATGGGGAAGGGGGAGGGACGGCTTTATTAGCACAGGCTGCGGGTTCCCCTGTTACTGGTGGGCCCCGTGCATCCTGTCTTCGAAGCACACGGCTCCCTGTGACCCTTTCAGGCTTTCCAATCAGAGAACCTGGTGTAAACCTAAAAGACCTTTGGTTACCCAGCCACATAGGATGGGGACAAGGAAACTTAACATTTTTTTGGCTGCCTGCTCTGATCTGGGCATCCAGGTACACCCTTTTCACCGGAGCACGTCCTCTGACCACCCCACACAGTCCGAGTCAATACGCCACCGTCCACAGGCAGCCAGCTTGATTTAGGGGCTCGGTGAGAATCTTCTACTCTACAGAGCGAGGTGAGGAATCATTCCTGTACCCTTGTGTGCATGAATCTCACGCACGACCCTAAGCCACTTCAGGACTGTTCCTCTCCCTCCCCCTACCCCATGCCCTCTGGCCCCCTTGCCATCGAAGATTCGTTTGTTCTTTCTCCCAGCACTCCTCAAGGACAGCCATTTTGCTGGGCGCTCGCCTTCCAGTCCTATGGTGATGAGTTCCTTTCTGCCACTTGGATCTGACAGTCCCAACCTCTGGAACTTTGCACCCAAAGCCACGATGCAATCCCTGCTTTTCTTTCTTGTTTGCCTCTCTCAAGTATTATTAACTTGGAATCATCTGAAAGAGTACAGCCAGTGGGCAGAACACCTGAAGGGAATTCTGGGAGTCTGGCTGGTTTGGGCTCAGCTGCTGTGAGCTACCATGGGTGCCAACTTCTGCAGGTGCTTCTGGAAGTCACGCTGAGCAAAGGGCACCACATCTTCAGTATGAGTTATAGACAGGGATGTGAGCCAAGCTAAGGGCTCGACCAGGGCTGGGGGTGGAGAGAGGGACTGAGTTTAGGCTACCATTTTATGGGATATGATCTCTTTTGCCTTTCCCTTCCTTCCCTTCTCTATATGTATTTCTAATATGCAAATGTATATATGCATATGTATGTGTGTATCTAAATCTGTCTATATATGTATGTATTTATACACATATGAATCAAATGAATCAAAATGAAATAATTCAAGCTCTACTTTCAAAATGACATCTTTAGAATTGCTTATCAAAACATTATTGGTGGGAATGCAAGTTGGTACAGCCACTTTGGAAAACAGGATGGTGGTTCCTCAAAAAGTTAAAAATAGAGCTACCTTATGACCCAGCAATTGCACTACTGGGTATTTACCCCCAAAATACTTATGTAGTGAAGAGAAGGGGTACATGCACCCCAATGTTCATAGCAGCAATGTCCACAATAGCCAAAATGTGGAAGGAGCCGAGATGCCCTTCAACAGATGAATGGATAAAGAAGATGTGGTCCATATATACAATGGAATATTACTCAGCCATCAGAAATACCAACCCATTTGCATTGACATGGATGGAACCGGAGGAGACTATGCTAAGTGAAATAAGTCAAGCAGAGAAAGTCAGTTATCATATGGTCTCACTTATTTGTGGAACATAAGGAACAGCATGGAGGACATTAGGAGAAGGAAGGGAAAAATGAAGGGGGGAAATCGGAGGGAGAGATGAACCATGAGAGACTGTGGACTCCGGGAAACAAACTGAGGGTTTCAGAGGGGAGGGGGGCGGGGGAGGATGGGCTAGCCCCGTGATGGGTATTAAGGAGGGCATGTATTGCAAGGAGCACTAGGTATTATAGGCAAACAATGAATCATGGAACACTACATCAAAAACTAATGAAGTACTGTATGGTGACTAATGTAACATAAAAAAAAAACAATTTTTAAAACAAGGAAAATGAAAAAAAAAAATCCCTAGTTTACAGGTACAGCGGATGTCTCCAGAATTTGGGGGAGCTGCGATCAGGCAAAGCCCGGGGAGTCTGCACACCTGTCACCTTGCAGGATTAACCATGAGCTGGAGGTCTGGCACTGGGCACCAGGTAGAAGGCAAGCATGTGGGAAGATAGAAAAGCTCTAGAGGCAGAGTGCTCTGGCAGGTGAGCAAGATCCAGGTTTGGGTCTGAGCTTTGTCACCAGGCATGCCTGTGTGACCTTGGACACATCACTTGCCCTCTCTGGGCCTCTGTTTTCCCCTGTGTAAAATAAGTGTCCCTAAGTGACCCGTGAGTTCCTTGCAGAGCCAGCAGTGGAATCTGAGGACTGTTGTCATGGGCCAAGCGTCATCCCAGGGGCCCAAGTATCACAGCACCGCGGAGGATGATCACGTGGCCTTGGCTCTATTCTGACATGCAGAGGTGAGGATGGCCATGATTTGGGGCTGATACACTTGCTGAAGGGATTTTCCTCATCATTTCCAAATGAACCCCAGAGTGAATGGGGCTGGGGACGCCCCACTAGGGTCTCTGATTCCAGTTCTTTCACTGAACAGCTCTCGGATCTTGGACACAGAGCTCTTACATTCACCCTCAGGGGTTTCGCTAGCAGAATATGTCTTTTGCTAGGTCAGAGTTTGGACTGTGCCTGCGGCAGCAGCTGCCTGGCGGGGTCGTTCACACTGCGACGGTGGGAACATCTCATGGATTCCAGGGTGAACGAGGAATGGCCTAAGAATCCTGGCCCATGATCAACAGCAGACTGGAACTCCAAGCCGTGGTTTAAAGGGCATTTTATTAATAACACATCCTAGTGAGTGCAAAGCAGCAAATCGATTTTCCAGAAAACACTTGACTTTAATTTCTTGGAAGTGTTTTTATAGCTTCACAGCTATAAACATTTTTCTCTTGGATTGAAAGACTGAAGTGGGCCCACTGAGCGTTCTGTGTTTTGGAAGTGTTTCCCTTGGATGGCATTCAAAGCAGCAAAATCCTCTTATACATCCCAATTTGGAAAGCCCCCATTTTGACTATAATTGACCAAGGATTAAATTCACATTTGTATTAAATGAGCAGGCAACTTCTTTCATTGACATATTTATAAAGATAATATTCAAGACTTCTAATTTATATGTTTTTCACCCAGGGCACTTTTGGGTTTTTTTTTTTTTTTTTGAATCATGGTCAAAATATAAAGAGGAATAAATATAAAACTTTTGCTTATAATCTCACTTCTCATAACGAAGCACTTGTATTAGTAAATTTTCTTTTTTTTTTTTTTAAAGATTTTATTTATTTATTTGAGAGAGAGAGAATGAGAGATAGAGAGCATGAGAGGGAAGAGGGTCAGAGGGAGAAGCAGACTCCCTGCTGAGCAGGGAGCCCGATGCGGGGCTCGATCCCAGGACCCTGGGATCATGACCTGAGCCGAAGGCAGTCGCTTAACCAACTGAGCCACCCAGGCGCCCCGTAAATTTTCTTTATTTGTAAGTGACAACCCATCTCAAGGTAGCTTATGAGGGAGGGAGGGGGAGAGAGAAAGAGAGACTCTATTGGCTTAAAAGACAGTAAATTTAAGTAAAACCTGAGAACAGCACACTTCAGGCATGGCTGAATCCAGGGGCCATCGGGGTGCCTTATCTTTGTCTCTTTAATGGGTTTTCTTCATGTGGTAGGTATATTAGCCACTGGTAGCTCAACCCTTATATTTGCACAGCAACCCACAAGAGTAAAGGTCATCTTCTCAGATATTTCTGTTCAGCTATGTCCTATGATCCTCTCTGGACTTCCTACTGTGGCCACGAGCATGATGTCATCTGATTGACCAGACCTGGGTGACATGTCCTCATTCATTCTACATGCTTCTGTCTTTGTATCACTGTTTCCTCATTTCTAAACATAGGAGAATTTTCTTCTGGTGTGTTTCATAAGGCTGTCAATTAGGTACCTTGTTTGGTGATTGCTTTCCATCATGTGCTTGATGTTTCTGGGGCTATAGCACTGCGCTACAGACGCGGGTGGGCATGGACATGTGTGGAGGCCGTCGTAAACTCAGGCAGTCCCTGAATCTGGTCCTCACCTCTTCTCCTCTCAGGATTTCCAGAGAGCTTTCTCCTTTCCTGAGACTTTTAGTGCCTACGATTAATTGCGCCCAGAGCCCAAGGTAGAAAATGAGGTTGAAACGAAAAGCTTGGAATTTATTCTTGGACAAATTGCAAAGCCTTGCAGTGTGTCTCTCATTGGTCAAAATCCAGGGCTGGTGTGTTCAAATGAAACATGGTAATCATTTGCGTTATTTGACTTATACTCAACATCACGCTGTTTCAATGAATGGTTTTACAGTGGCTGTGGTAGAAAGTGATTCTTTTTCCTCTCCAGAGATGAGGGACACCTCCCTTGCTAGGAAAGCCCTTTGAGAACTGAAACGAGTCACCATTTTCTCAGGCTATGCTGAGAGCTCAGTGAATTGGTATTAATTAAAATTCCCCTTTTTGTGAGATTTTCCTTCAAGATCCAGAAACAAATGACTGGGGGAAAATGAGTAACATGACACCTTAAGTGCTGAAAGACCTGACATGGTTCCATCTGCGTCGTCTTACTTGGAGAGGCAGAGAGATGGGCTTGTGCTGGGTTTGTAGGTGGAGAAGCTGAGGTGTCACCTGAGTCACTTGTCCAGAGTCACAGGCTAGTTGGGGCCCAGTTGGAACCCTGACTCCTTCTCTGGGTCTCACAAGCTCAGACACAATTGTACATTTGGGGGGACTTATTTTCATATCCTCCTGAGGAAACCAGACCTCCCGTAGTCAACAGAACTTGATACCACACATCCTAAAATTTAAAAACTCACCTGACCAAAAAGACCTTGCAGTTTTACTCACTTGAACAGGCCTCATAACCTCCCACAGATCTTCCATGTCACACTCTGAATAAATAATCACTCCCCCTGTTATCAAATGTCCTTTGACCTCTTTTCAAGAACGCATGGCCAGTTTTCCCTTTCAAACAGCTCTTTGAAGTCTGTTTACATGTGAGTGCAAGGCCTTCCCTCCCCTGTGGGTCACAGAGCAGTTACTGGAAGGTTGGTGGGAGGTGGTTCTTGGCTTCGGGTACAGATGAGTGCACATCTTTGAGCAGGTTGGTGTTTAATGTTCAGGCACTGGAGCCCTTTGGTCAGAAGAAATGTGCAGGTCACCTCAAAATACAGAAAGAGAATGCGAAGCTACTCCCGTTGCAGTCAGGGAGGGAAGGCAAGAGCCCGTGCCCCTGGGAGGAACCCTAGGATTCCTCTGAGCACAGTCCGAGAACCACTGGACTGGAGGCTCTATAAGAAGTTCTGGGTATAAGAGCCTGTGGGGCCTATGGTGGGGGGTTGCTAGCAAAGACCTGCCCCTCACCAGGGCCCTCCCAGGAATAGACATTGGCCCCACATGCCAGCACATTCCTTTCCTCTCTTCGCTTCCTACACACCAGCCAAGATGGTAGGTTTCAGGGAAAACAGAAGGCTATGACTTGACCCCTTTCCTCAAAGAACTGATCACTAAGCTTTCACAGTAAGTGTTCCATACATGTTTGATGAATAGATGAGAGAACCTACTTGAGGTATACAGAAGCCAAAAAGTATGCCTAGAGTCCAGTCCTCAGTAAGAGATACATTTGACCTTGCACCCAGAACATACATCCATATGTCTGGATGCAACTGAAAACCCGGATGTACTCCATTCTCTTTCTTACATTTAAAAAATGCCAGTAGTGACCCACTAAAGTGTTTTCATAACCTGTTAATGGGGTCCTGCTCCAGAGAATGCTGGTGAAGTTGTGCTCACTGGTCATTCCCCCGAACTCACACTGGGTTACCTTTCAGCTTCCCCTGCTTCATCAAGGGTCAGCAAACTGCAGGCCCCAGACCAAGAGCCACCTATCACCTGTTTTTGTATGGCCCAGGGGTACTGGTTGAGCACCGTGAACCCAGGCTGGTGTGTCCCCCTCTACCCTGTTCCCCACTCTGTTCCCAATACCTGCTGGGCACTGTGCTTTGGGCTCCCAGTCTGGGAGCTGGAGCCTCGGTAACCTCACCTCTGGCCGCCTGAGGGCAGACAGTCGGGCTCTCCAGGAGGAGAGGGTCTGGGTGTCATTTGGCAAAGAGGGGGCCTCAAGCCCCTTCAACTCCCCCATCACACTGATCTGACCTACAGGTTGCTCTTCTTCCTGAGACTGTCTGCAGCAGACGCGCCTGGGCCCCAAATGGGCCTACCACCCAGGTTAAGACATTGGCCCACAATGTCTTAAATGTTTACCATCTGGTATTTTATACGAAAAGTTTACCCAACACAGTGCTCTATGGTGATGGGCTGTGCATGACATCATTCTATAAAAACTCATCCGCTTTTTAAAAAATTAATTTTTAAAAAGATTTTATTTATTTACCTTAGAGAGAGAGTAAGCAGGGGGAGGGGCAGAGAGAGAGGGAGAGAAGCAGATGCCCCACTGAGCACAGAGCCCAAAATGGGGCTCAATCCCACGACACTGAGATCACGACCCAAGCCAAAATCAGGAGTTGGATGCTTGACTGAGAGAGCCACCCAGGCACTCCAAGACTCATCCACTTTTAATAACAACAAACACTAGTATTAGCTATCACTTATTGTGGCTCAGAAAGGTTAAGTAACTTGACCAAGGCCACGCAGCTAGTAAGTGGCAGACTGGGATTCTGCAGCGATGGTTTGGCAGGAGAAGAGAAGAAACCACAGGGTTGATACCCTGCCATGCTGCCGGTATGTGCTGGCACTCCAGCCTCAGCTTCTTCAGGGCCCACCCTTGCCCCAGAACCGCAGGGCAGCTGTCTAATGGCTCTCCTCATGAGCCCGCTCTGGGGTGGCTGCCAATGTTTCTTTTTTATTATCATGGTCCTGCATCGGGACACTGTGGCCAGAAGCTTCTATCTGTCCGGCATTTTCTTTCCTGTGTGGCCTCCCAGATTTAGTGGCTCCTTTGTGACTTGGCTAATTCCCCTCCGGAAACTTAGGTTTCCTCTTCAACTTCACCTTGTATTTCAGGGAGGAGATGACTGTTTTTAAGTGGTGCCCTGCTCAGTTTCTGGTGTGTCAGAGTTGACAAGCCCCCTGCCTCTTGTCCGCCCCGGCTCATCCTCACAGAGCAGACACATCTCACTTACTGGGCATCATCCAGGAATGTGCTCTTAAGTGGATTTTCCAGAATTGGAGCTCGCTGCTCTGAACACCCAACTTTGGAAACTTGTAACTATTTTGGTAACTATTTTGCACAGTCATCTTTGTAAGATAAATTACACCGCGACTCGTGTTCTTAAGCAGAGCTCCTTGTGCACATTTAATCTTTTCCCGAAAATGTAGCAGACTCATTAAAAACATTAGTTATTGTCAGGGCTGTGACCGAAAGGCAGCATAAGGTGGTGAACTGCATGACTTTGAGAGATTTACATAAAACCTTGAAGTTTCTGATTCCTTCTCTGTGAAATGGGGATGATACTGTGACAGACCTGGTAGAATCAGGTGAGGGGGAAATGAGAAAATTCTCGTAAAGTCTTTGGCAAAGTGATGGGCATGCAGTGTGCTCCCACTAGATGACTGATGTTATGATTCAAACATCATCCCACCTGGGATGAGTAGTTCTCGATCCTGACTGTGCACTAGAGTCCCCAGGGGGAGTTTTGAAAGTATGATGCTGGGGCCCCACCCCAGATCAACTAAATCAGGATCTCGGGTTGCTTGTGCTTCAGCATTAATGCTTTTGTTTTGATTTGTCTGCACCTACGCCTGCTTCCCACCCACCCTCCCAATCCACCACTGCCCTTGGCCTCTATCAAATGCAGCTAGAGCTGGGGACCCATGGCTTTGAGGTGTGTCCAGCTATTTGCTCCAACACTAAATAGCCTGATCCAAATTCTAGTTTTATTTCAGAGCTTCTCTGCTCCTCTTAAGAGCAGCTTATATTTATTAAGGGCTTTACCAGGCTCTTTGCCTGCCTTGATCAACCCTTCCCTGCACCCCACCTCGTTCCAGGCACCCAGGGAACACAATTTAAGGAGGCACTC